AGAACTCATTTCTGACTGGACTACTTTATTAAACTAATAAGCACTGTAGTGATAATCTGATTTGACTGTAAAAATATTCTTCTAAAAAGAGATTTCACTGATATCTGCTTTTTCAGGCCTAAAGAATTAGGAAGAATAAAATGCATTGCAAGTAAATAAGAAATATATTGTCTCATTATAAAATGGTTTCCATAAATAACTAGGAAGTCATAGATTAAAGACATTCAGAAATGTTTCCATAACTAAATTTGTGCTGATATGAGACCTGGCAGAAATCCTGTTTTAAGCCCCTCATGTCATTTTCTTTGATGTAAAACTACCAGGAAGTGGATGGTTGTATTGCAGAGACAAAGTAGAAAATGTTTCAAGAGTATCCATTAAATGCTTTTGCAGATCAAACATGATTAATAGAATTTTAGGACTAATCTCTCAGGTGTATGCTTCAAGCTTTGGAGGGGATATTTCTCGTAATAATAAGTCATCAATTTAAAGAAACAAAACCAAAACCGCACAAAATAACACCTTATATTAGATTTCTTACTCTAGATTTCATGGGCAACAGTTGTAAATTTAGCATCATCTTCTGTATGATATTTCTGTGATCAAAGTAATTATTTTGATGAGTCAAGTCCTGCAAACGTTTGCTCACTATGACTGTTACCAAATTCTAGATGCCTGCTGCCTGCTAGAATAAACATATGGTAAAAAAGCTGCTGGTGGAAATTTTATTTTATATTCAGTGTAACAGGGTAACAATGGTAACAGTTGCCACTGTTCAAAGGGAAATGACGGATTCAAAACAAAACCTTAACCTGGCAACCTGTCAGAGTGAGACAAGCAGTGATGCCAGTCAAAACAGCAAAGGCTGTACTGTTCCTCCTCCTTCAGTCTTTCTCTTACTATGAAAGGCTGTATTATGTTTACATGTTTATTTTATCTCTGGGCCTTTTGCTGATGCAGAGTTTCAGCGCTCTTTTTGTAGTCATTTCCTGCTCATAGGTGAAATGCTATCAGAAATTGTCAGCTTGTTTTGTCCGTTGCTGCTGTGCTTTGATGCCTTGAGTTTTGCTGTCTGTTATGTACAGCTTCAGCTTTAGCTGGGACTGAAGAAGCTGTTCTGAGGAAGGAGTGGGATGCAGTTGCATCATGTTGGGAACAAATTAAAGAGAGAGCTGTGGCAACCCAGCAGCTGGAGGACAAACTCTGGCAAAGTACCTAACATCTGGCAACATCTGGTGAGGCATCTGACACCCTCTCATCATCTTTAATGTATTAGATCAAGTGGAGACAGGGAGAGTTTTGTGTTGGCTAGGTTTTTGAATAAAGTTGAGTACAGCAGTTTGGCTTCACTGACCTGGTAATGCTTCAGAAGGTAAACTACTGCCTGCCACTCTGAGGCATCTCAGGTTTGAGACTGAGGAGCAGATGACCACTGATGTTTTCTGCAGTCTTAAGGGTGGATTGACGACATGAAAATCAATATTGTCCATAGCTCTTCTGAGAATGAGTCATCTCATGATCATATTACTTAGACTGGAATGATAACTTTGATGATACCTTCACCACTTCTGACTAGATTGGGGACTGCAGCAGTCATCTTCTGTTACACAAAGAGCATCCTGAACTGCAGTCTACTTGTTAAAACACATTTGAACAGTGGCTATGGCCCAGAATGGGAGATTAAAGAGAGGTGAGCATGGACCAGTTGTCCCACACTCTCTCTTGAAGAAAAAAAAAACACCAAAAACTTTCCCCATTTATAAGAGCAATAAGAAAATTAACTAACCAAGCCCTTCCCAAATAACCTTCTCAAACTAGGAAGAAACATTGCCAAACTGTGTATAAATCCAAAGGTCCAACCTTCCCCCACCATGTCCCACTCATCTCGGTGAATGACTTTGGCTAGAATGAAGCAAAGAAACACTGACACTGCCCTCTGTAAAAATATTGTTCTGCTCCCATGGATGTAGAGAGTCTTTTGAAAATGTATTTCATTTTTTATCTGCAAAACAAGAAAATTTCCTCACACGAAAAAAGTTTAAAAGCAGCTACTCAGAAAAACAGCTCATTTTGACCAGAGCGCTTAGACATCCAAATGGATCTGCTTGGCCAGAATACCAAGATGGAGGTAAATAGATATTTCTCCTGCAGGGTTACAGATTTAATATGCTATTTATCAGAGAATCAGCATCTCCCTCTTCCTATTCCCACTGCATTCATTTAAATTATCTCACTTTCAGCTGAAGAAGTTTTACTTTATAGCAACAATGATGTGGTTACATATTCTACCATTCTTTTTGTGCACACCTTAAGCATGTTGTCTGACCTGCTTGTTTCACTATACAAGCATTATTGTAACAGAAAGATCTGTAAAGATTTTTCCAAAAAACGAATCCAAGTCTTCTGTCACACATGAAGATGATTACTTCTTGCCATCTCTGATGGAAACAGGATAAGTGACGACTTCAAAATTTGTAAAATAAACATTAGCTAATGTTTATCGTCCTGTCTTCAATCTTTTCTTTTTCCTAATAGATAATATTTTATAAATTTCCCATTGTTCTTTGTTCTCATGACAATTTCCAGTTTACCACATCTTTCTTAAAACTGAGACAAAAATAGATGTAGCTAAAGCTTTACCAGTCATTCGGAGAGTGGAATAATTTCCTTCTGTTTTATGTAGAGCTTTCTTTTTGAATAACACAGAATTATATTCCTCTGTTTTGAAACCTTTGTTGCGAGTTGACTCATCTTTGGTCTGGGCTCCAACATATCCATTCCTTTTTTTTTTCCCTGTCTTTCCCTTTTGATGTTGCATATTTGTCTTTCTTCTAACATACAACATTGCATTCTATGAAATTAAATCTCAATTAGTTTGTCATTCTCCCGTTCTCCCCTTGCCCCCCTATTTATCAACCTTATTTTCAATTTTCTCTTGTAAATTGCTGGCAGCCTACTCTACTTATGTCCTCTGCTCAGAGTTTAGGAGCATTTCTTGTCCCCTAAGTTCTTAGTGTCTTTGACTTTGTTGAGACCTTCTTCATGCATATTATTCCAGTTTAAAAATGAGCCACTGGGAGTCGCTATTTTCATAAAATTATATACTGATCATTTAACAACAATTTGCACTGGTTTCCCTAGTGAACAAATTAGTCTTGAGAGAGTATCAGTAATTGTTGTGTTTCTTTCACCAACATTACCAACACTATCCTTGATCCTATCCTATCCTATCCTATCCTATCCTATCCTATCCTATCCTATCCTATCCTATCCTCTCCTCTCCCCACTCCCCCCCACCCAAGCATAAGTATTCCAAAATGATTTTAAATTGCTCTTTTCATTTTACTCATCTGGTTTCCAAGCATATTCAGCTTCCCGGGTCAAATTCTTCAATTGACAGTTAGTCCAGTTCAGCTACGACATGTTTCCTTATCTGGTGAATGAGCCATTTCAGGCTCCTGGTTGATGTTTGTTCTACACTCACTGAAAAGTTGAAGGAACACTTTGTACAAAATAAGGTCTGTTGCTTTTAATACTACATGCCTGTCTTCACAGTATCTTGCCTGTTCTCAATCAGTTAGGAGTATATAATTTTGGCTGGTTTACATTTGCATTTCCTTCATCTGATATTTTTCACCTTTTGCTTTCTGCTCCTTCAAGCCTAGCACTTAAACTACTTACTGTTTCAATTGATGCCTTTAGAGTAAAAATTTTCAACTTACACGTTTATCAGAATAGCCTCCAAATTTATTTTTCTATTATAAACTGACTTGAAATACATCAGCATTTATTTATTTATTCATTCATTCATTTTCTATCTATTTATTTACTCAGTTAATCTAGTCATTGCAGATAAAATTGAGCTGGTATGGTATCTCTTCCTTAGCAACAGCAAACTTTCAGATTTTAGAAAATTACACAAATAAAGAAATGAATGGTATAAGGTTGTGTTTAATACAGAGGAATCTATTACTAATTTCTGCAAGTCTCATTCTGGTTCCATTTGAACCAGCTGATAACAGTTGTTGATTTTGGTAATGGTAGAATATTTTGGAGTTTTGCATATAAGAATAGTAATTCTTGTGTGACTGTTGTAGAACAAAGTGTTCTTTCATAGGTGTTTGAATAACAGGACAGGGCTGCTAATTACAGAATCACAGAATTGTTGGAGTTGGAATGGACCTCAGGAGGTCATTGAGTCCAACCCTCTGCTAAAGCAGGTTCCTTGCAATAGGTTGCACAGGGAGGCATCCAGACAGGTCTTGAATATCTCCATAGAAGGAGACTGCTCTCTGAGTAGCCTATTCCAGTATTCCATCGCTCTTGCTGTAAATAATTTCTTCTGCTTTTTAGTATGAAACTTCCTGTGTTCAGGTTTTAGGCTTTTACTCCTTGTCCCTGTTGCTACACACAACAGAGAAAAGCCTGGTTTTAAACACAAGACCCTAATATAAATTCAATCATGTAGAAATGCATTTTGAAGCTTTCCTGAGACACTGAAAAATACTTACACTGTTGTTGCATAAATAACTTATTGCAAATGTGCGCACACAATAGAAAATTCTATTTTGGAGGTATTTTTGTTCTATATAATGTCTTCTTCTGATAAGAATTAATTAGAAGAACCTTTACACTGCAGTGATTACAAAGTTGCTGACTAACATTTGTTCTACATTTTTAAATAATGGCTTTCAACAAATGTTATATTGATAATATTGTAGTTATGATTTGATATCATAGTTGTTCATTCAGTTGAAAGCACCTTCTTTATCATCAATAATGTTAGTCTCAATAGAAATGTTTCTCTTCAGTTTTATTTTTCAGACTTGTTTTTAGTTTCAAGTTCTTTAAAATACTCTTTTAATATTGCTAAGATTGTTTTCCAAATGCAAATGCAAGATATTTATTTTTTTTATTTTAAAAGAAATTTAATGTTCTTTATTTTTTTATTTTTATTTTTTTAAATTTTCTTTAAAAGAAATTTTATGTTATTTTCACAGAAGTCAAAGTGATGGAGTTGAATGAAAACATGAATTGTGAGAATTATTCTGTAACGATTATAGTTTCTTCATCTATTATCCCACTGTGAAGAATTCTGGTAGGAAATTCTTGCATTTTCTGAAATCAATTTCTGCTTGGTCTTTTTGCTTTATCAGTCTTTATTTCAGTTTGAATAGTCTCTGTATTCCTTGACTATAAAAAGATCTATGCTAAAGAGAATTAAACACGTTTATACCTTACGACAGTTGTGAGTTGTCAGGCATCAAAAAAACCACTCCTGTTTAAAATATCACAATTTTAAAATGAATTTTAGAAAATAATCAATAATTTGAAAAATAATTTGTTTCTGTATTCATTATTTATTAGATATCATATCAAATAGAGTTGGTTGAAATTGCTGTTTTCAAAAAAAAATACCAGTTCTGTTATAAGTAATCTGTGCTGGTGAATCTAATTCAATAGGTGTATAGATGGAATAAAAGGAATTGAAAAAGTTAATATTTAAAGATTCTTTTTGTTATAGTTTTTAATATAAATCATTCTCAGGTTGCACTCAAAACGAGAGAGTCTTAAATTCTTGCAAAATCTCAAATCAGTTTTCAAAAATGTTATGCCTACAATATTTATACTCTGCAATAAATATTTCTTTCTTCAACAATTTATACCCTTTTCTGTGCAGAACAGCCTATTATTTCTATAGTGTCACATCATTTCTTTTTTAAGCCCCCTTAATTGTTCTTAACTTTAGATGTGTTGTTAGGTTATGTAGTTTCTTCAGTCTGCATTATTTTTCTTTGAGATCTGACATTATCCTGATGTTCTCTATATTGAGGCCTGTGTTTGACTAAGTGATTTTGATGAAACTGAAAGCTGAAATCAGATGAGATTTCTTCACAAGACATAATTCTTGAGAAGAATTGAGAAGAATTGTTTGTGTGGTATGTACTGGCAGAAGAGAATGAATTTTGCAATGAATAATTTATTTGATAAATGTAGATTCCCTCTTCAGTATGTTATAAGAACAAAGCAGTCGCTTTGAATTATTCATTATTCTGACTTAACCAACTTTTACAATCAGAAAATTAGTCTAAAATTGATTGATGTTACTAATTTCCCTGGGAATATTGACTTGATAAGATATATTTAAAACTGGAGTGGTGATTTTTAACTTGTTAGTTAGCACCTGGTAGTGTATTTCATCATACAATCTTAAAATATGCTTCCTATGAACGTTAATGTATCCATTTAGAAGCTGAATTATGTGTATTTGTACCATATGATTGGCTGAATGTCCAAAAAGGGAAAGCGCATATAAACAACACCTGAGCATAGTTGAGGTGAATTTGTTTAAAAATATGTATGAAGGAAAAGAGAATATCAAGTTTACTTTTTTTTTGGCTGAGTGTATAAATTGCCTGATTTATGGTTTAACCGTATTCCAATTCAAATCTACTCACCTCAGTGGAAGAGGGCTGTGTACCAAGTGTGAGCTGTTTGGGCATGTGGAAAGGTCTGACAAAGCTTTCTGCTCTCTGACTAGATGCAATGCTGGCTGAATCTCTTGACGTTGGTTTTGTCCTCAGTCCCATTGTTTTGTGGTGCATTAGTGGAAAGTTAACTGTCTGAGAGTCATTCTGTGTGAAGTATTCCTGAAGCAGGTCCATGCTTCTCCCTGCATGGTCTGCAGCTTAACACAGTCAGTCAAACAATTTGCTGTCCCCAGAACTAGGCAGCAATTTATTGTAACTGCTAGGATCTTTCTCAGATGATACAAATAACATGTTTTTGCCTGTAGCTTACCAGAAGAAAGTATGAAGGTTTAAGATCACGACGGCATCTTCATGTCCTGTCAGGAGGACAAAAGGAGTCCTGGGAATTTGTTTGCAGTAATTAGATTGCTGTGAGGGATTTTTCTCCTGTGGTGTTAGTTTTTGCAAGTGAATGCTGTATATAGCAGATAAAAATAAATGATATAAAAATAGGAATTGCTATCTGGAAAAGTTAAAAGTGCAACTCAATCTTCAGCTATTCAGACATTGGTCAGATGGGAAATTCTCCAGAATTTAGTGAACAGAATGGAGTAAGTGCATGATTGCTAAAATGTTATACTAGAAATAATGTTCATGAAGAAAAAATAATAGATATGCATCCAAACAATTTCATACTTTGCCTAAGTATTAGTAGAAATATAAGGACTGCTTCCAAAACAAAAACAAACAAACAAACAAAAAAAAAGTTAAACTGTGAGGTCATTGTTGGTTTATTTAGAATGAAACAGACATAATAAAGCCCAGTGAAAATTTTGACATTAAGGGTAAAAAAATCAAACTGGTTTTGGTGGCTATATTAAGAATTTCTCCTGAAGACTTCAGACCTCACCGTTAGTGTCATGATGAAAATGTGTTTTCAATCTCCGGCATTCCGAGATTGTAAGTAAATAATTCCGTCCTTGAACATTTTTGCAGATTAATAACTAGCTGGAAATTCTTCTTCAGTGGAGAAAATGAAAGTTTTTTAAAAAGATAATATTCATTAATCTAGTGTAGTGTGTTTTCTGGAAGACATATATATTTCTGAGAGGAAAAGCACTACCAAGCTTTAGATATGAGGCCAAATATTTGTGTACTTGTATATCATGTGTGCCCCAACCAAGATGTTATAATAGCTGTGTATCCTTGTAATGTCAACTGAGGTGTTTGGTTAATATGAAGCAGAATATTTACTTTGAGATCTTAAAGCATTAAATGAGTATTTGGGGACTGACTTAAACAGTCTAGTTTTAACAAGACACTTAAAAAAATCAATCACTAGCAGTTTGAAGAAAATAGCTTAAAAAGATCATGGAAATACACAATAACTTTAACATCACGTGCTTTAACATCACTTTAAGGGCTGTATAATTAAAATCTCTTTGTCAAGAAGTTTAATCCTTAGGAGGCAGATGGCTAAAAATAGATGAATATGTGGATACTTTAATTACAGTTTCTTAGATTTTTTTACTCAATTTGCTTTAGTTCTGTTACTTCGACATTAGGGGAGGAGAGATGATTGCAGCATTGGCTTATTTTGAACATGAAGTGTGTTGCTCCAGAAGCTTACCAGCCTGGTTGTTTTGCTCTGGGTCCTCCAGCTGGTTTGGCCTGCTTTCTGAACACAGTTAACTCTTGATACTGCCTGTAGCCACACATAACTTTCATACACAAAGAACTCCAGGCTGGTTGTCATGCCTCTACTCAGAGGTTGAGTGTGTGGGTGAGTACTGTCCAAGGAACTAAGGAAGTGTCTTTTCTCTCTTCTATTTATTTTGTGACTATGGCACAGGCTTCCTTTTGGCAAACTTAGTTCTTTAATTTCAGACCAGTGTCCTTTGGTATTAAAGGACTCTGGAACAGATCCTTTTATCAGCCGAAATTGTGAATATACCACAAATACTGATGAACTGTAGAGAAGCAGACTAATGGTTTGAATTTTTCAAGTGTTCAACTTACCAATAGAGTAAAATTAGATAATATTTCATTGTAATTTTGAAGAGCAGTTTTGAATTTAAAGGAAAGAAATTCCTTCTGGCAAAGAACTTACGAAGTCTTCTAGAAGCTCTAAGCTTGGTATTTTGGACAGACAACTACTAGGACACTATGGGAAGGGGAAATGAAGACAAGAAATAAATTTTCTGAGGCTGCTAATGTCTGTAGATTCTATAGGGTAAAACTGTAGGAAGGAAAAAAAAATCTTAGAACCCTAGAATAGCTTAGGTTGAAGGGTACCTTGAAGATCATCTAGTTCCAACTCCACTGCCATAGGCAGGCTTGCCATCCACTAGATCAGGCTGCATACGGCCCCATTCAGCCTAGTGTTGAACATCTCTAGAGATGGGGCATCTACTACCTCTCTGGGCAACCTATTTCAGCACCTCATCACACTATGAATAAAAAATTTCTTCCTAAAATCTAACCTAAATCTACCCTCTTTTAAACCATTACCCCTTGTGTCCAAACTCACACTAGGGAAGAAAAAAAGGCTACATAATGAAGTAAGAGTTGATGAAAGATTTCTGTCATGACTTAAGGCCACTAGAATAGACTGTGTTTGGCATTTCTTAGACCTCCGCATTTGCCATAAATATATTTTGTGTGTGGCTGTTCACCCCATGTAGTAAGTATTTGGTCATTATGACTGGAGTTAACAGCAGAATTCAGGGTCACAGGTTAATGGAGAACAGTGTGAGGGTGTGAGTGTCTGTGGAGACTTTCATCAAATAGTCGCAATAACCAAGACCACATCGTTAACATTTACTGCCAGATAACACTTGAGTTAATGGAAACAAACGCTTGAAATGAATTTCTTGCTGCCATCTTGTGTCTAAAGGCAAAATGGCAAGGAAATTTCTAGAGTTCCAATTACTGCTTTTCATTCAATATAGAGATGTTTCTCATATTCATGTTAGTGAATCTTTGCCCATGTTTAGGCAAAGTCCAGTCCTAGTACAAAAGTTTTTAAGGTTTATCCCGAGAAGCATGGAGAAGTGTAATTGTCTTTGTGCAACAGATTTTGTGAATTCTCAGTGAGAACTCTGTAGAGTAGCAGGTCAGTTAAGCTGTTAAACATTGATCTCCCCATGCCTATTCCCACCAGAATCATTTTATGAGGTACAAGAAGAAATACTTAATAATCCCCACTTCCATAGTAGACAGAGTGTAGCCTGTGTTTGCAATTTTGATGATCCTATTAATTTTCTCTGTAAACACAGCCATTGTTTGCCTTCTATCAGTACCATCCTTTAGAAAGGCTGCAAAGGGCTATTGCCCTCTGCATAGAATTTAATTGGAAAAAATTTGTAGCTTGAAGTAGGGTGCTTTTCAGGGTGATCTGAATGAGACAAAGATAATGTAATCTGTTACATGAGGTTTTAGATGAAATTTCCCTCACACATCTCTTCTTCATTCTACCTGTTCTTGCTCCTGAGACTTTGATGTTCTTTTCTCCTCTTCTAACATCCTGCAAATACCAACAAATCTTTACCCCTTCTCAGCGGAACTAAAACTTTTGGCCAATAGAAGTGACTGTTTCTCTGAGCTTACACTACAAGGAAGCAGTGTAATTTCCATTTACATCCACAAAGCCAGCTGTGTAAGACAGGCAGGAGTTGGATGCCTCCATAGCACTTTTTGTGGTAGGAAGTGCTTGCAATAGCACTAGCTCTGAGTTGTTACCCACTACTTACTCTTCACTGTGATTGTGAAGAATCCACCTCATATGTCCTTTTGCTGCAATGGTTTTACTGAAAGCATTTGAAGAGACTGTGACATCCATATTTACAATGTAATGAATAAAGATAATGCTGGTAGAATTATTCTGAAGAAATCCAAATCAGCTCACCTAGACAAGTGAGTAAATGGAAAAAGTTTTGCAAAACAGGGGAGAAGGATGATCTTGCACTGAGAACAACCATCCAGTGTGTTTTCTGTTCCGTGCTAACCTCCACAGTTAGACCACCTGGTTCTTTAACGAGTGTTTGATTATCTTTCCAAGTTGTACTGGACCCATTGTGAGATTTTGTTTTTTTGGCCAGTAAGGTATAGTCATATATTTTTGGAGCATTTTTGAAGAGCTACACTTACCATGTTCACTGCAAACCCAAACTGTTTCAGTCTGCCGTGTGAGAAGTTGGTATGCATCTCTTCCCTGTCAAACAAGTAAATATCTTGGGGGTTCTTGGCTTGAAAAAATGTTCGGTAATATTCTGTAAAGTCAGTCAATGGAACTCAAAATTTTTGGCTTAATTCAGTGATGACTAAGGTTTGTTGACTTTAATGAAATTATGTCTGCATAGATGAGAGTTTGAATTATATAAGTGCAGAAAGCATCTCTTCATTCTGTAGGCTCTGGAAACGTTGTTGGCTTAAACCACTGGAACAAACTACCCAGGAGAGAAGTGAATTCTTTCTCTCTCGGCTTTTCTAAATAAGACTAAATGCCTTTATGGAAGATATATTTTATTCAAACAGAAATGATGTGGCTCAGTGCAAAAGTACCGGGATGAAACTCTGTGGCCTGTATTATAAAGTCAGATGTCTTTCTGGACCTCAAAAATCTAGGGGTCTTCAAGGTTTTCTGTCTTCCTTTTTGCAGTTTCCTGTTGTTGATTATATTTGCTGTTTCCTAACTGAGATTGCAAACTCTTAGGGAGCTAAAAGCCTTTTTGTAAATTTGCCTGTGAAAGAACTGTAGAGCAGCTATAAGTGATTGAGGGCTGCTTTTCTGTTGACAGTAATACTGAATAGTTATTGACATACTGAAGCACTAAAATGAGAAGTCCTTCTCAAAAGAAAGTGGAAATTTTTCTAACATGCTTAAGATATATTTCATTGTCACTGAAATAGCAAACAGTGTTCATCAGTTATGGATGATCATTAATGTTCAGTGCTAACATGATTGGAGATGACTTTCAGGTTTTAATTCTTAAAAGTAATTCTTTGAACTTTTTTGCTATTTGAGTCTCATGTTGCAGTAACAGGTAATAATTGCTTCTGAATATATAACTTATCCTGCAACACTGTACTCTGGATATTCGCATATTTTTTGGAGATGAAAGCTCAGCTGCTGGCACAGGAGAACGCAGTCTCCTCGAAGAATTGTCTGGACTTAACATCTATTCTCAAACTGGATCAGTTTAGCATTGGCAAGAGTCCATTTGTAATCAATCTGCTAACAGAAAAGTGATGGAGTGGCTACTTTCCTTGAGTTAAATAACTGAAAGCAGAACTTGGGGTCAGTCTTTGGTGCTTGGGTATCACATCTGTTAATAGACTTGACCACATTTCTACAATGAGTTATTTCAATAAATGTACAGTTGACTGTGCAGCTCTAAATACAGTCTGAAATGAAAGGAAGGAGAGACTTGAATTTTCAGCTGACCTTTAGAAAAGAGGTTATATCACATAGGACAGTGATAATTTAAATGTTCCAGAAATGCACTAGCTGTAACTGCACTTTTTGATGGAAGACTGGAATTGAATGTAGATAAAGATGGCTAGATGCCACGTATACTCTTCACTGATATAATTTCAGAAAGATGAGGTAAAAGCTTTGCTGATGTAATGCTCACAAATGCTCTCTTTCATGAAAGAGAGCAAAAACCCCGAATGTCTGTGCTGAACTATGAGAGCTGTTATTACTAGCTAATGTTAATGTATCTCAGCAAAGGCAGTGTCCTAGAAGGAACTGAAATATTCTAAACAACAGTTTTTTTTTTTTTTTTTTTTTTTTTAAACCAGTACTTAATAAGAGTGGTTTCCATAGGAACTCAAATCTATGAGACCTGACAAGTTTTTTTTAGTTACATTATGACTGGCATATAATAGCAATAATAAGAGTTCTTGTATAATGCTTATGTATGCCTCGTGTATTTTGATTTCCTGATATTATTTTTCAGAATAAAACATGGGCTGTATCTTTTCATTTCAAACATATCTCTTTATATCTCCCCCTTAAGTTTCTGTGAATTCATTCTTATTACTTAGGAAATTTTCTTAAAAACAGGTATGGGATGAAAAGTTTGGGATTTGTTTATACCATCAAGTAATCTTCTAGCTGTGGATTCCAGCTTGAATCCATGCCGTGCAAGTCTTTTAGAGCTGGTAAGAAAATGTCACATCTGCTAATAAGAAATTGGACAGGTGGATGGAACTCTTATTCTCCCTCCAGTACATTTTCTAATCTCTTACTAATCAGAGCCAGCTGCTTGACATCATCTCAGGACTGATCACCTTCAGTACTGGAAGCTACCCTGAAATACGGCTTCTGAGATTTTCTGGTCCAGTCAAGCCTTTGGCAAGGATAAGTATTCGCGTTTTATTCTCCTTCTCCTCTCTCCAGTTCTTATCTGCATAGATTGCACCATCTGGGTTCTGTATTTGTGTTAGTACCATGTCTACTGATTAGTAGTTAATAGTTGGTGTATTTTTCCTCAGTCATACACTTAAGGAGTGCATGAGGGTAATTTGTATTTCTGCTCTTCCACGTAAGTGCAGAAAATACTATACTATTCTTAAGATAACAGAGCTGAATGTGCTAAAACAACTTGCGAAACAGCTCTTTAACAGAAATGATTCTCAAACATAGTTCCAAAGTCCTTGTCTCTAAATGGTGTAGATTTCCTCCGAGTCTTCCTCCAAGTGAGAAATCTTCTGGTTTGTCAGTGTGACAGACCTATTTAATAACAAAAGCCACTGGAAATAAACATCGTGTATTTTATTGGCATTTCTACACATTGAACTGTAGGGGGAGGTAAGGTCAGATGTTGAGTATACAAGGCAACAATTGACAAAATAATGTACAGCATTTGTTTGGTGTCCAGCCAAGGATTTGCAGTGCTGTTAAAATGGTAAAGTACATAGCAAATATTTGATGTGCCAAACCACAGAAGACGGTTGATGATGGTTATGGAGTGGAAGAGAATCACTAAGTAGTCCCTGTAGTGTATTTACTATACTGTACATTTTGCACATGCTATTTATTATACTGCTAGTAATATATTTGTAGTTCTTTTTTTCCCATAATATATTATCATGAGCAGAGACCCAGCAGGAGAGCTTTACTTATTGTGAAATAATAGTTATGCTTCTTGCTGTCCCCTTTGTTCTATAAAAACCAAGTTGGCATTCTCAGGAAGGAACTTTGCAGAAGTGTTTTATTACCATATAGAAAGCTATTCTGGAAATAAAATTAGATGTAAGAATATATAAGAAAACAACTAAGATAACAAACTCAAAAACAAACCCAATCACACCTGTAAAGCAAAAAGAATTGTGGTAATGAGGAAGACAGAGAAAGCTGATGTTTTGAACTTCTCCTGTCCTCCATTTTATTCGCTATTTTTCTATTAATTTTACCACTATCACTGTACCTCTTTGTTTTGTTTTGCCTTTTCTCCTCTCTGCTCTGATAAAAATGTGGTCTTGCAGCCACGCAACTCACTCACTGTGAGCAATGCAGCTGTAAAAATCAGCACTCAGCATCTGCAGTCACCTCTGGTGGTGGGAATGGGACTTTTCTGTTGATGTCCAAGCTACACACTGCATCACTGTGGTGTGAAAACATCCACAGTGGATGGTTTCCTTGAAAGAAAGAGGTTTCCTTGGAGTCTGCCACTGTGTTTTGCAGTCTGGCTCTGTCAGGTATTTAGGACAGAGTTGGCTTGCATTTGTTTTGTACGTGTGCATTTGTTTTGTGGTGTAGGAGCTTGCTGTATAATATTGACACTCCATTTTGAAACTGCATGAGAAATCCTGAGTTTTAAATGTTTTTCTCCTGTAATCTAGCCTGGATGATTCCCTAGGTTCTTCTCTGTTTTCACCTGTACTGCTAGACCTCAGCAGTTCAACTGAATTCAATTATGGGAGAGCATAATGAGTTTTTAATGTTGCACTTAAAAAAATTAAAACAGGAAAAAAGAAGTCTGTCTGAACATGCCCAGTACAAGTTATTACAGAGATATCTGTGGTTTAAATGTGGACCAGTTTTCAGAACAGAAATAGCCTTCAAGACTGAGACTTCAGTCCTTCGAATACTTGGGGTGATATTTCGGGCTTGTGAATGTCCTGCTTGAGGTGGGACTCTCCTTTGCTTAATGTTAAACATGTGCTTAAGTGTTTGTCAGACTGAAGTCTGCAACTTTCTTCTCAAGACATCTATGATTTACTGTGTGCATTTGCTAAGCAACTTTAAACAATGCACCTTTATTCTGTTTACAGCAGCTATGGATCCATTTCTCTGTTTTTGTGGAAATCCGTGTTTGGCATTTTCAAGGGTGCCTGAGCCAAGCTCAAACCTCAGTGTTTGGATATGGGGTGATGGTAGACACATGTCTTGTCAGTTCCATGGTTTTGTTATTTTATAAATGTATTTGATTATACACTGGGCTTATATAATGAAAACAAAGCTTTCATTAGTCTGGATTGGGAGGGGCTGTGGTTGAAATGAGGGGAGAGGAATGACAGAAAAGAATCATGGGGAGGGAGGCAGGGCAGGATGAAGGAAGACAAACAACCTGTGATGCTACAGCAAGTGAGGGGAAAAAAAATCTGAATAGAGCATTTGAGAGATGAATGATAAGAGCTGGCTCCTTCCCAGCTCCTTTGCAGAAGTCAAGAAGTGGACTAGTGATCCAAATGTGTTCCTGAGTCTGGACTGCAGGTACATTTCTGCCTTTCTGTGAGAATGGCTAATGTCAGCAAAAGGAGCTACGAATCTGGGAACTCCAGGATTTAACACTGTGAAGGCTCCTTCCCTCTCACAGTTGTAGTTTCCCAGGTGCTTAGAAGGAGGATACCTGATTCCTGCCATGGGTGGTTGCTGGATATTTAGGCACCAAATGAATGGGCACCAGAGGGATCAAGCTCGATGGAAAATGGTGGTCCCCCCAAAACCACATTTTAAAATGAATTAAAATTAATTGGTTTTATTACTTTGTTTTTATAAATTGTATAGCATTCAGCATTATGGGATCTGATCAACTGAGAAGAAGAGATGAACAAAGACTATCTGTATTCCTCTTTGCTAAGGACGTATTTCCCTAAACAGAAATTCAAACACTGGGTAATGAAGACACTTGGATCTCAGGCAGTCTGGGACAGAGTAATTTACCAGTCATATTCATCCTAAATCTTCCTTATAGGATTTCTTCACAGGTTAGGGGAAATAAGGAGCTGAAGCAAAGTGCAGATCATTTATGGGGATGCGGAGAGCACATTTATGGGGATGTGGGCAGGAGTTTTTGTGAGTGTGAAAAGGCAAAGAACATAAACTGTAGGGAAAACATCTCTCTCCTGAAGATGAATAGTTAGATTCTCAATTGATGTACATCTCTGTAACTTTGGCATCAGAGAAGCTATGCTGATTTACACCAGCTGAAAAATTTGGAAGGGAACAATGCACTTTTTGTTTAATTTTTATGTGCTCTTCAGACCATCCGTCATATCCAGTTGGAGAGGAATAGCATTTGGTAGATGTTTAGTCTTGACTTTTTTTTTTCCTGAAATAGGAAGTGAATTAAATGACAGAATAAGACAGTTTTATTATTAGCACTAACTGAAGAATCTGAAAAAAAAAAAAAAAATTGAAAAAGAATTTGTCAAATAATGTATCTGACATCACAGTAAGATATGGGCAAATACATTAATTCTTATAAAAACTCTTTAATAGAAATTTAGAGAAGTCATGCTGGATATGACTAGATTTACAGCATTGGCTGTATAAAATATTCTGGCTAATCCATCTTTTTCATGGTATCTTTCACATGGACTCTATCTGCTGCTTTATCATTTGCTGGTAACAAGTACTAACATTTAATCAGAAGATCCAAGATGCATGGATTGTCATTTCTGTTTTAGGTACTAAAATGGAATTTGGACTACTGTCTGCTTTACCTGCTCAATTTGTTTTGTTGTAGTGGTTGAAATCATGTGCTAGTACTGTTTTGTAGCCCTTACAAATGTCTCAGTCTGAATATATGTGGTTGAGCGGTGGCTTGCTCAGAGATGAAAGTGTTGTGCTGAAGGAATAGATATGATCTATGGACTGATGTCCAGGCTCACCCAGAATCACTCGGAATCACAGGGGTTGGAAGGGACTTCAAGCGATCATTGAGTCTTCCGCTAAAGCAGGTATCTGCATAGGTAGGCATCCTGGTAGGCATACTGGATGTTGTGTTGAGAGACATGGTTTAGTGGGAGCTATTGGTAATAGGTGAACAGTTGGACTGGATGGTCTTTTAGGTCTTTTCCAACGTTGGTGATTCTGTGATTCTATGATTCTATGATCCGGACAGGTCTTCATTGCCACAAAAGGAGACTCCACAACCTCTCTGGGCAACCTGTTCAAGTGCTCTGTCACCCTTAGTGTAAATAAGTTCTTCCACATGTTAATATGGAAATTCCTGTGTTCAAGTTTCAGGCCATTACTCCTTGTCCTATCAGTACAAACCACTGAGAAGAGCCTGGATTCATATGTTTGCCTTCCACCTCCCTTTAGATATTTATGAACTTTTATCAGACTTCCAAAGGAACAACTGATTTTAAATGATTCTAGCTGTGCTAGACAAGGCTTTGTAGCAGGTCATTTCCTTAGTGGACCAAGGAATTGATTTGAGGTTCCATGAGTACCCATTTAGGGTATGGTCTACTACAGGGCAACACATAAATAAAATTATAACTGTTATATCTGGACAATAGCTCAGAGTCTAACCTGTACTGACTTAAAAATAATAATAATAATACTAATAATTAAAAAAAAAATTGGCAAGGTTCTGTAGTTTGATGTGGGAAAAATATGCCCAAAATATTTTTCTCAAGCAAAGCTGTACAAACTACCCTTCCAGTCAATGGAAAATACCTGGGTGGAAAATGCATTTCCTCTCTCATAGAAAACTAGCAGTTTCTAATTTCTAATTTCTGCATTCCAAATCAGAAAGGAAGATAGGTATGTGATATTTTCAATGAGACATGAATTAAACAAACAAACAAACAAAAAAACCAACAAACAACAAAAACCTTGTGGAAGAAACTCAGTGGATATGGAAAAGCTCAAGAAGCCAGGACTACCTCCCAGGCGGTGTGGCTAGGACAAATAGCTGGGCAGTCCAGGAAGAAGACCACCTTGCTACTCAGCAAGGCTGGTGGCAAATTAGCTACCAACCAGCCTTGACATCAGGGAAAGCCCAGTCTGAAATAGTTTACGTTAATCCAGTGTGAACTGCAGTGGGAGAGGAAATGCCACTGGGCACAAACTTAACTCCCTTTTCTTAGAGGATGGAAAAACAAGATTTACTGGCAAATCACTTTGTGAAGAAAGTGGAAGAGAAAGGATCAGCTATGGCTTCTGATGGTGGGTGAGCAATGCTTGATTGTGCCTTTTTACTGACATACAAACTGCATATGGAATGTGCTTTATCTTGTGCAAGTGTGTAAGCAATTTAAACTTATGCTCTTTACCAAGAGAGGCAGTGAGGTTCAGCAGAATGAGGAGTTTCATCACATCACATAGTGGCCCAAGTGAATAAATATCATGGGGGTTGTGCTGGTACACAGTAGTACACCCACGGTTGCTCATATGCCATTTGAAGTGTCCAATCTGATTCAGTGGCTTCCCCAGCCACTTACTGCCAGAGGCCTATATAGCAGTATGCTTCTCTTGGACAGATAGTTCCTGAAAACATAAATCCCTGTGTGTGGTTACTGCAGAACCAGAATCTGACTCATTGCTTCACAAAGCACATTTAGTTGCTTTGGAATCATGCTGATATGCACTAAAAACCCAATAACTTTGCTGCTACAGTAATGATCTACTACCTTAGGACTGTCAAGAAAACTTTGTTCTCTGTTCACACCAAAGTCTCTAGGAACTTCATGTGACAACTCAAACTGGATCCCATAACTCCAACAACTTTGAATCCATCTTCTCATTGTTCCAACTGATTGGGAGCTCTCAAGGGGTGCTAGCAGCATATAGTTTATAGCAAAGTATTGCACAATTTTCTCTCCATACAGTAGGGGGTAGTAAAATACTCAGAGACAATGTTTGCAAGAAAAAAGAACCAAATAGTAGAGCAATGGAATGGAAAATAAACAAAATGTCTATTTTTAAACCAAACTAAATCCATATAATTTGAAGTGGGCAACCTTTTGAGTCCTAGTAAAACAAGTTCCTTAAGTGTTTGATGCTATTTAATGTGTAATGACTTGGCCTATTAAAAAAAAACCCAACATATTAATTTTATTAATTGCTGCACTTTCAGGATGAAAGTATCAAGTCTTTTAATTGTGCTCTGCATGTTTAGGATGCAAACAAAAGTGCTCATTGTGAACCTGCCAATTAAAGTAGCTGCCAATAGGGAAAGGAGACGTGCCTGTGGCTTTCTTTGGGTTAGCTGAGGTCATGTCTACAACTAATGCACAGGTTCTTAAGGAACTTTGGCATCTGAAAGCATGAAAATACCAAGTAATACTCAACTCTTTCTATTAAAAATTTTGTAGCTGTTCTGTTCTGAAAGTAATGTTTACAGAACAACATCAAAACTTTTTTTTCCTTATTTATTAAATAATTTATTCTTTTAAAAATACATGTAATGCTTAAAGAATGCAAAGTTCTGTCTGAAATGTCAATGTTAAGAACCTGATTAAAGGACTGCTCTTGATCTTCAGAGTACAGTACATGACTGCAGACTAGTCCAACAGTCATAAACCGTGTAGCAACCAAGGAAAGCTGATGGGAATGGCCGTGTGTTTCTAGGTAAGAAATAGTTTAGAATGATACTGTTATGAGAGTTTTGAAGTAACAGTTTCATTTCTACTAATTCAATGTCTGCATATTTCTATAGTACAGTTTAACATCACACAAAGTAGTTCAGTAACATTGCACTTCCCTTTTAAACACTGCATAAAAAAACAGACTCCTCATTTTTTATAAAGTTTTTATAGGACTCTGTAATCTCTGGAATTGGTTTCTAGTCATGTTCCCACCAGCTGAGCCTGATAAACCTAAATCCCAGCTCATTTACTGCAGCATATATTGTGAGCAATCTGTATGACTAACAGAGAGGGGACATTAGTGCAGTGAGCTATAAAGAGCTGAGAATCTGAATCAGTGTTCCCTATTGCAGGAGGAAAGCTGTATTTAAACACAGCTGTGAAATAAAAGAGATTAATTTTACATTTATGTAAAGGTTTTAAAAATTTAGTTTTAAATGTATATTTCTATCTTAGGTGATTGAGCTTCGTAGGAAGATTTTAAAGAAGATGTAGGAGCTCTTTGTTGTGTCTATACTGAGTTTGTGCTATATAGTTATTTGTATTTTATTGGTATCTATTACTAAAGATTCTGCAGAAAATGAAAAAAAAAAAAAAAAGCAACAAAAAACCTTGACACCAAATCTATTTTATTTTCAAGAATATCCAGCTATCACTTACATACCCTTGCCAAACGTGTCATTTCTCTTAGCAACAATATAGGTGGCTTTAACAGATACTTTATCCTGTGAAAGAAAGTCACAGAGCTCACTTTTGAAATGTGAAGTTGTACTCACATACCTATGGGATGAATTCAGTGATAAATTGCTTTCGCTAGAACATGGAAGAAATTCTTGCAAGGTCTACTTAATATTCCAATGCCAGTGGTTTGGATAAGTTTTTGTCTTTCCAATTGAATGAACTTTATATTCTTGTAGTACCGTAAGTCATTGTGTAAGTGATGCAACACCCATGCAGAGATAGAAGCTGTTGCAAAGAAAACATAAGTTAAATATGTGTTTATCTGAAATTCATCCACTTTTTCAACATAACTTTTCATCTGAGGTAGCTTGGAGTAATTGTTAGAGGGCAACATGGTAGCCATCCAACCAGAAATTTCCAACATTCTGCTTTCAGTTTTGTCAACTGATAATGTGTAGTGCAATTTTTCTGCTGTTTAAAATGCTTTTTAAAATAGATGTTTCTGAGTTGGCAAATGTTAGCAATGGAGATACAGTTGAAGTAAAAGACTGACCAATATTTTACAGCCACTTTCGCAGTTGTTTCTGTCATCACTGTGGAATGTGTAAGACAGAATGATGTAACAACGTAGATGAATGTGGTTCATGTGCCGGAACCACAGATTTGTTGCTATACATACTTTTTCTATTTAATAAATAAAAGCACAGATATCTGGCACTTTATAATGTTCCAGATAATCGTGAAGGTTCTCACATCTATATCTCATTTCCATCTATGGATTGCCCACTAAGTTCAAGCTTCTGAATTTGATACAAAGGATTCTGCTATCTCATAAAAACCATGCCTTTGTAAGGAACGTTAACACTGAACAATATCAGTCAAATATCCTGCAATGACATCATGTTGCCAGTGTCCTCCCTTAAGCCTCCCACAGCATCCTTTTGTCTCCAAGACTGACTTCTAGACAGTATGTTTCATAGGGCAAACCTTACCTTTATTTGTGATTTCTTTAGTGTTAAACACTATTTTAGTGTTTCAAATATTCATCATAAACACAGTCCAACATACTTATAAAAACAGATTTTCTTGACCTAGTGCCTTAATAATCTTCTTTAACTTATATTTAATCTGTTGGAAAAAAGAAAAATTAGTGGCCGATGCAGTTTGTTATTTCTTGAACTTTATTCAGAAAGTTCCAAAGAGTAGGTTTGGATTAGAACTTGCAAATAAGGTTTGAAAATGTCATCTTAAAGTGAGATACTTGCCTGGCTATTGAGAATGGAAAAGAGAATGTATAAATAGTTTTCTGCTGGAGCTGTTGGGGATAGGTAACCTAGTGGTTAGATTTGGAATTTGGAAAAAAAGACTTGATAAATTCTTTTAGTGTCAAATCCTGGTGACTGGCAGGAATAATAATACTGATATAACTGGGGATGAATATCTTTAATTTTCCTTTAGGAACTGGTGACAGATAAGATCTGGGAAGAAGAGCTGTAACAAGTTTGATTTAGTGCTGGATTTATAAGGGTTTGAAAGAAGACCGGTGAAGTCATAAGCAAATATTTTATTTTCAGTATTCCTGGACACATTTTTCCATTTAAGGAAGATTCGGAATAAGGGGAGAGAACTAGAAAAGCCACACCTATAAGTTTTCTGTGGTGTCTTCTGAGATAGAAGTAGAATGGTACAGGCAGAGGCATATGCTTTGTATTAGTATTCCAGTACAGATTAATCCTCTGTCTACAGAATGCATTAATTTTACAGTGAATTTTTCAAAATCAGATTTTCAGAAAGGAAGGTAGAAAGCCTTTTTATTCTTGCATTCCACTAGACTAGCAGAAGTAGGATTAAAGATTCCATAAGCGGGAACAAATGCCATATATTCAAATTTACTACACAAATTGGTGACTTTGATTTAAAAAAATTTAGGCTTAGGTTTAGGGTGACATTATGGCCTAAAAGAGAGAGGCTTTACCAGCGCTGTTTGATTGTTTAGGACCAACAGAGATCAGAAAGATTAGTTGTTAGTAGGTTGTCTCAATAACATTTTCTTCATTTTCTTTACTGGGTTACGTTTCAGTTTCTGGTTAAAAAAAATAGATTTAAGAAGAGCCTTGTTGAGCCTAGATTGTCAGCGATTCTGGAACGGTTTCAGGGATAGGACCAAGGTAAGTATAATTAAAGACAAATGCATTCACTCTATTTCTTACAGTTTGCTCACCTAATTTAGTAGAGGTGGAGATTTAGAAGGTCATTAGTGATGATACTGCTGGTGCCTTTAATACATTTTTGCTGCAACAATTAGTTCAAGGCTCACAGGTTAAGTAGCATGATGCTTGGAGTTTATCTCAAGTTTGGGCAAGGAAAAGGTTACTATGTATGTAAATATATGGAAAAATGTATGCTATGTAAAAATTAATGTAACTTTTGAGTGCAGTAAATAAAACTTGAAGAAGTCAGTGTCCTATAGGACTCCACATGATCATTAGAGATAGGAAAAACCTAGCTTACTGGATCCCATTTATTTCTCTTAGGTTTTGCTCTAGCTATTAACCAATTACCCAACAATGATCATAACTTTTTGATTGTATAAGGACTCATGAATACAATTTTTTTTGTTTCCAGGATACACATAGATTCCATAAAGCTGATTTTGTTATAAGTGCTTACAGAAGAAATTGATAATTATGAACAACAGTATATTGTGTTCACCTAAGGACTCCAGAAAGTTTCAAGAGATGATCCACATTTAGTGTAAAATCCTTAGAAACAATTTAGAATATACAGAAAACACAGGGTTGAATACTGTACATTGGTTGAGAATCAACATGGATTCTTTAGAAAAGATAGAAAGCTTGTGTACAATGAAATTGTAGTTGATATAGTCTATTTGGTTTGTAGGTTACTGAAAGCCTTTAAAAAAGTTAAGAACTCAGAGGATGAAAGAAAAAAACTTCACATATTTTAAGAGAACTATTAAGTCACAGCCTGAACTGGTAATTGAGCACCTGGTGAAGATGAGTGGTTGTCCCAGGAAGAGCAGATGCAAGCAATTCACCTGTACTTTCCACGTGACTGCAAGGGGTTGACCCCTCCCTAGGCTCATTTAAGGGCTGGCTTCCAAAAGAACTTCTCCTGGATGTAGGCTATTTCCTGAGATGGATTGTTCTGTAGCTAGATGTCCTTATCATCAGTCAGGTGAGTGAGCTTTTTCCTGTATGAGATTACTGATGTTCCTAAGAATGTTTTGCTTGGTATTATAAAGAATTTATCGGAAGCAATTTCACTGCTTTCAAGGGTTGATATGCGTAAAGGTTGGTTAAATGACAAAAAAAAAGAAGCAACAACAAAGCAAACAAACAAACAAACAAACAAAAAAAAAACAGAGGAAGGAGGATCTCCATGGGATTTGTCCTGGGACTGTACTGATCAGCATTAATAAGGGAATCTAGAATTGAGAATGAGAAAACTTCAAGGTATTTTCTGGCAATACAGATAAAGTTATTCAGAATAGCTGTGCAAAATACTGATTTCAAGATAGGCAAAATATGATATTTTTCACCTCATATTGCGTTGTTATGCTGTGAAGTTCTTTGCCGTGAGATGTTGTGTTTGTTAAAATGCTCAGATATAAAAAGTCATAGATGAAAGGAAAGCAAGATCCAAGGCTATTAAAGGTAGGGATGCCTCTTCTGATTCAGGAACTACTCAGCCACAAATTCCTGGAGGCTGTGAAAATATTGTGGGGAATTACTGTCATATATTGCACTGTTCTCAGGATCTTTCCAGGGAATATGTTTTTGGGCAATCGTAGAAAATGCTCCTGTACTGATTAGATGCTTCTCCTCACTGAATATATTAAGGGAAGATCTTTATAAATGCACGTTGTGGAAAAAAAGGATCAAATATTCAGTATGCATCTGAATATTTGTGCATGCATTTGTCATTTCAATTTTCCTAGTTCTGCTTTTTGCAATGTAAAAAGCTTGCTATCTTTGTCATTTTACTGCATTATTAAAAAAAGTAGACTGCTCCTCTAGTAAGATTACTCTAGTACTGTGCTTTCTGGATGCCTTTCCACATCCCTTTATGAAGTTCATGATTGCTTCCCACAGTATCTGTAAGCAGACAAACTGTGTCAAGTGACAGAGATTGGAAATAAATTATTTTACACAACTGTCCTCTTTTTTGAAGTTGAAGCTGAGAGAAACTAAGATACTTAAAAGCATGTGTGTTACATGTTATGAGATTTTTTGCAACATGAAATTTATGCTACTAATCGAGGAAGCCTTGCTTCTGATGTGCACAGGTCAAAGGAGCTGCCCTATTCCTGTGACAGTGAGTTCGTTGTAATGTCATACCTTGCACTTCATGCCAGAAACTTCACTAGCTGAAATGGGTAGCAGTTTCTTTAGATGTTTAAATTATCTTCAAGAAGTTAGGAGGAAAGACTTGGTCATTTAAATTGCGTGCAGACCTGATAAAAATGCTGGATTGCTCAAGAGCAAATGCAAAAAATCAGGCTTTGGACAGACTTGTAGATAGTCAGGATATAGAGTAGCCATTCTATATTTATTGGAAATCTTGCTCTTATTGCAAGAGTATTTCTCATCAGAATGAATCTAGAGGCAAATGGAAGGGTACTCAATGTACCAGCACCAGAAATATCTATCTATATGTCGTAAACAAAACACAGCTGGCCATTCCTGGGAATCTATCTCCAGTCATATAGCTTTTATGATTCTAACAATGTACTTCCCCTTTCATGAAATTAATAGGCATTCCATTTCATACAGGTAAGAATTTATTCAGTGCATCAGTGTTCTCCTGTCTTCGTTATACCATGGCCAATTTAGCCTGATTCTCTATTTGTGGAAGACAGCTTTATCTATAAGCCAGTGACAGAGGTGCTTATCAGACTTTTTCAAGCAAATAAAAATTATCTTTGCAGTAGTATTTCTTTTATGATAACAAGACCTTCAATTTACAATGTCTATTGGCTCTTCTAATATCAGAACTGTGCGAGAGGGAGTATGTTGGAGATGCAATGATTATTACTTTAGTGGGAACTACTGGTACGGAGTACAGGAGGGCACAAAACTGATAAAAGTATCTTAATGCTCTTTTTACTTATGATATTTTGCTTCTTAATTTATATTCTTGACAAGGAGATTTCCATTCTTTCTCATACATATTCTGGATACGTGTTGTTACATGTAGCAACGTGATACTGTTGCTGTATTTTGCAGAAGTAGTAGAAAGTGAAGATAGCGTTAGATGTCCTTGGATGCCTTGTGATTTGCAGTAGCAGGAGAGATATCTTTTATTTGATACCAAACAATAGTTCAGTGTAGAATTTTCTAAACTCAGCTTGGCTTCTCTCTATGCCCCAGAGCCAACCTGGTATTTCACAATAGAGGAATCAAATATTGTTTGGCAGCATCTGAAGTTGCAGCTCCTTAGAGCCTGATCTCAGCATTTGGCTGTGAAGAGTCTTTCTATTTGTAGTCAGCTGTGAAAAACAAAAACCAAAAAAACAAAACAAAAAAAAAAGGGCATCAGCAGAGCTGTGACCTTTACACAGTTCAGTGAGCTGTAAGAAGGCAGAATCATTATTACTAGTTTTAAACCATGAATACGTGTTGGTTTTTCTTACATACATGAGGCTAATGAAAACCTGTCACCAGAAGTATACAGCATATCACTTCAAAAGGAATTTCATTTTGACCAAAGAACGTGGGCACAAGTGTTGCGCCACACCTTACTCTGTTCTACCATGGCTGTTCGCTGTCCTCAGGAGAGGACAACTTCTATCTTCCAGTGGCACATTAGCCAGAGGTGCACTAAGAAGCAAAACCATCAACACTGAAGGGTGCAGACACCCTGTTTAATGATTAAATAATGTTTAATCTGCTAATGAACTGCAGAAATTCTTGAGAAGAAAGTATTCTATGCAATGTGAATGTATTACTAGTCTTCCAAACCTTTGAGGCTGTTGGAGTAAAACTTTTTTTTATCAACTTGTGGACAGTCTTGCCTGCTTTTAATACACGTTTATCACTTGCTAGTCAGTATCATAAGTGAATTGAGTGTTTTTTAAGTGATATTTGAACAGCAGTTAAGTCTTAAGTGAATTATGGATTTGTGCTTACGTGGTAGTCATGCCGCACAGATGTTATGTGGGGAAAGCAGAGAATGGTTCTAACTTGGTCCCATATTCTTGTATCCTTAGAAAAGTTATGTTGCTTCTGCTTCCTGTCCTACGTATGATGTGTAGAGATTACTGTAACTTTTGTAGACCCCACACTGCATCACTGATGTTCAGAATGGGAATTTAGCAAGAGCTGTGCTTCCCTAATTGTGTTTGGCATATCTTCTCTCAGTTGTAAAACCTTTCCTGTTGAGACCTGATAGGATTATGATCTCTCTCAAATAAATTCTTGTCACCTTCTACCAAGTCTTATACCAATTATTGACACTTGTTTTATGGGCTTCTTATCAATTACTTGTTTTGACCTATATGTTTTCAAACAGCATTTCATTAGCACCTGGTCTTGTAACTGCATTAATGAGGCTGGCAATGAAACGTATCTGCCGCTGCCATCTAGCATGATTTGAATTGATTGCTGATTTAATAATATAACAGTAAATATGGAAGCTGAGTTTCCAACTCTTTCTGTAATAAATATTCCTGCATCTGCTCACTCATTCTGTGGATTGCTTTCCCTTTAGTAGAAGTCTTTACAGACAGTCTCAAAAACAGCAAGAGCTGTTGGTTGTGGTTTTTTTTTTTTTTTTTTTCTTTTTTTTTTTCTGGCCTACCAGTGTTATATGAAGATACATTGTTTTATGCTTACTGCTACTGTAGCTAATAGTCTGGCTATTAATTTTTCTGTCAAATTGTAGTCTGTAGCACATGGATTAAACGGTATCTACAATACATGGAATTTGCATTCTTCATAGTGTTCACTTAGTTTGGAGGTTTTTTTTTTAATGGAGATTGTTCTGTAACAATCCATTCTGTTCTTTTCACTGCTCACTCTAGTTGCTCTTTCAATGAGTGCCGTATCTGTAAGGGTAAGGCTATTGCATCGAAAATATACAAATGATCTTGTTTTTAATCCTTTTTAAAATTACATATAGGTGCCAATAATGTGAGCTGTGCAATATAATCTTTTTTTCTTTACTGTTAAATACAAATATTCAGGTAAAAGCAAAAACAGAACACTTTTGTTTCTACCGGTCTTTCTGGGCTTATCGAATATTTTCATTGTCAGCTCCAACAGCAATGTCCTGATGATCTTTCTCCCCATAAATGTTATAACAATTATTTTTGTCATCTTCCATTATAAATTCCATATGGTGGCTCAGTTATTGCTTTCACAATTTTACTGCCTGCATGAGGTTTTTATCTGGAAATCCACCACCATTCCTGGTAACTGGCATTACTCCATGCTGATGATTTTCTTTGTTTCTTGCCCATGTTTTGTCTCTTTGTAAATCGTATTTTCTGTTATTGTGGGTCTCACAAGATTGACCTCTGTTGTCATCTTCATATGCTGAGTAGAAACATAAGAAAACACCACATTTCTTAAGTAGAATAGCTCTAGGTTGAGAAAACTAAAGCAGAAATTGAACCTTGTGGCAAGCCAGTGTCCTCAGGCAACAAAAGCTATATTTAAGGCCCTTTGGTGCTATTAACTTTTTGTTGCTCTGGACTACCCTGCAAGCTCAACTTAGCTGTGAGAGGCACTGCCAAGGTGTATCTCCACAAAGAAAAACAAAAAACCAAACCAACAAACAAAAAAACCCACAACAAACACATTCAGTAGTTGAAGAACTCTTCTGAGGATCTATCTCTGCTCTAGTGAGGTACCCTACAAATGTATAAACTGCACTGGGCCCCACTGACTAGTGGAGCCTTCTATGAACAAAGCTCATAGAGGGTTATAGAATGTGGGAGTGAACCCCACTGACAGTGATGGAGGTGGAGTCTTTCAATTGATCAGTCAAGGCTTAATTGTGGAGTAAACTCAGCACTAAATCAGGGAAGCATTTCCATATGAAGATGCTGGCCTGAATCTGCCTTTAGACTGCTGCTCTGACAGCAATGTGGTCCTCAACAGGTGAAGGGAAATGCTGTTATAGTCTGCACTAGGAGCGATGGTACTCAGGTGTAAGACTTCCACTATTTTGTGGAGTTCTCATTCTTCATCCTGTGTGATTAGCGGATATCTGAGGGGACTGATTTTGCAAGCAGATGATGAAATATAATCGTTGTTGCAATTTGGTCTATGTACAAAGAATATCTTTGAAATTGCATTTGCCTGAATGATGCAAGAAGTAAACATGAGAAGTTTGTTGCTTTAGAACTCTGCTTGGACAAGGAACTACCATAACTGTCTTCTCTGCTCAATTTCTTTCTTAAAATCCTCCTACATGCTGTCTGGTTGTCTCTTGGTCTTTCCTGCAACCTGACCTATGGGTCCCTGTGGTTTTGCCCATCCTCCACTCAGCAGTCATAATTGCCCTGAGTTTGCACTTAATCCCCAAAGAAAATTGCAGTGGTTCATTCTCTTACTAGGCCTCTGCTTTGGGTTTTTCCTTATAATGTTTCATCTGTTCCACAGAAGTGTTGTAATCAGTTTTACATTTAGCCTACTACTTTATACTTAATAAAATGGGACTCCTAAATTCAACGCTAATATGAGATTGCTTTGCCATTCCTATTTGTAGATGGTCTTTTTTGTTGCATGTTATCAAGCTGATCTTCTTTTCCGCATGTACAGTTTTGACTGTTTCAATGCTAACTCAATGTTTCAGAGAAGAATTAACTATTAAGGTCACACAAAGAAGGTACTTAGTTTTCCTAGGT